ACGAGCAGCTAGAGTTTGAAAACTTTCTTTAGTTATTCTTGCATGTTTAAATTTTTATGTTTTCGTTCAGTATTTTTATTTCTTATCGAATCTGGTGACAAACAGATGAATATTTATATCACTACAACAAAATGGATCATTTGTAATGCCAATAAAGTGTTGCATTAGATAGTGAAAGTGTTACAGAAATGCTTAAGCATCGCTTTGGTGAGCGTTACTTCAGATCTGAGTCAAATGCATAAATGGTACCTTAACTATTGGTAATGTTGCATTTTGGTACCTTAACTTTTAAATGAATCAAAACGGTACCTTAACTATACATAAATGTTTCAAATTGAGATTTAATTCAATTTTTTAACAAAAAAATCATTCGTGACGATCAAAATTTCATGTACAGAGTCACCCTATAGTGATCATATGGACAAAAATAAAGTATAGTGGACTTTTCGCATAGAATTTTGACCGCCACGTGGAATTTTTTGGTCGAAAATTTGAATAAAATCCCAATTTGAAACATTTATGTATAGTTAAGGTACCGTTTTGATTCATTTAAGAGTTAAAGTACCAAAATGCAACATTACCAATAGTTGAGGTACCATTTATGCATTTAACCCCTTCATATCTCGTTACATCACTTTTTCTCATGTTATGCAACATCAAATAGAAATGTTACATAAAAGAAACAAATGCAACACTATTTTGCAAAACTTTGATCATTACCTTAAGCAACACTCTTTATTATAAAATGCAACAATTGAAAGAAGACTTTAGGTAACACTTTTAATATATTTATGTAACATTTGTATTGTATCTATTTGCAACATTTGTTTTATACCATGCAAGTGTGCAACAGTTATATTCACATTTTATCACATTACTAGTTTAGTCTATCTTACAAATAATTGTGTGATCACAAACTCTGTATATCAAAATACTAATTTTTCTATGTGTTTTAGGTTATTATTTTTGCATAATTTAATTATATATATTCCCTCCATCCCAATATAAAAGGCACACTTTCTTTTTCGGGCCGTCCCAATATAAAAGACACATTTTCCCTTTTGGCAAACAAAACAGTGCAAAACAGTGCCAAACAGTGTCCAAACAGTGCCAAACAATGTCTAAACAGTGCCAAACAGTGTCCAAACAGTGTCTTAACAGTGCCAAACAGTGTTCAAACAGTGTTCACCCTAAAATGTGTGGAAACGCAAATGTGCCTTTTATATTGGGACGAGGGTATTTGATTCGACTCTAAATATGGTTTCATACATTTAATTCAAAGTACCTTAATATAACCAAATCTTATCAATTTTCTTTTTGTCATTACCTCGTTTTACACTTTAACGAGGGACTGCCGCAGGTCAATATGTGTTCTTTAGTTTCCAAAAATGTTGTTTAGCTTTTATTTGCAATACTTTTTTGTTTACCTACTCTTTTTTTCATATTCCATCTTCAGAGTCCCGTTCCTATCAGGAGCTCCTGAAGAGAAGCCCCGTGCGGACAAGCCCATCAGAGGGTCTTCCCGGTGGAATTTTTTGATGAAATTTTTTTAGCATGTTCCTCATCAAGTCTAGTTTGTCCATACCAAATTTCAGCTCAAAATTCGATCGGGAAGGCAGTCAAATAAATCCTGGAAACATACTGCACTTTATATGTGCGCAGAATGAGCCATAGTTTTTCAGGATTTATTTGACTGCCTTTCCGATCGCATTTTGAGCTGAAATTTGGTATGGACAAACTAGACTTTATGAAGAACATGCTCAAAATATTTCATCAAAAAATTCCACCGGGAAGATCCTATGATGGGCTTGTCCGCACGGGGCTTCTCTTCAGGAGCTGCTGATGTGAACTGCCCTCTCCATCTTTAATAGTTAAATGAACTTTTATTTTTGTAGCAGCGTTATGGACTCAACAGACTATGAATCACAAGGTGCTAATGAATGTGATGGTGCTCAACAAGAGACACCACACATGATAGTTCTGAATACACATCTTCTCAAGCAGACATAAGTGAAGAATTGTGTACTAAAAGAAATGTTATTTTATTTTTGTGGAATGGTTTTATATTTACTTGAAAGGGGAAAGATAATAAACTCAAGGCTAGCTAATTGCAGGCATTGAAACAATTGTTGGGAAAATGTGTTGAAATTGCATTAAATGGTAATTTTGGGGCAATTTTTTGAGTGGGGTCCATTTCCGATTTGGGTCAGGTCAAAGTGGTTTCGGATTTTCCTTGTTAAGGGCTACAATTCGATATGTGGTACGCCCAAAAAGGATAATGAGTGAATGAGAAATTGATTCTCGAAGTTTACCCGTTAGAATGAGAAAACTGGGAAAAATGATGAGTTTCTAGTGTGTTATTTCCCACACCGGAAAACCCAAGGGATTTGCAACCCTTTATAAAGGTACTCCCTCCTTAAGGAGTTAAGATTCCTAAGGGTAAAGGCTCTCTCCATGCGCGGGGGGGGGGGGGGGGGGGGTGCAAATCAAATCCCGAAATTGGAGAAGAAAAACCGCGACTTGCGAGCGCAGGCGACCTTCGGACACTAAATTTTGCTTCATCTCATTTCTTGTTTTTCTTTAGTCATTTTAATTATTTTATATTAATTAATTTTCTTTATTTTCCGAAACACACCCAGCAACAATAGCTATTTAGTCGGAGATGTGGGTTGGATGTTAATTGATCATGAAGGGAAGTTAAGAGCCAAAAATCGATGATGTTGTTCGAGATAAGAAAATTATGACCATCATTGAGCATAATTATTTTTCTTTAGTCATTTTAATTATTTTATATTAATTAATTTTCTTTATTTTCCGAAACACACCCAACAACAATAGCTATTTAGTCGGAGATGTGGGTTGGATGTTAATTGATCATGAAGGGAAGTTAAGAGCCAAAAATCGATGATGTTGTTCGAGATAAGAAAATTATGACCATCATTGAGCATGTTCTGTTTTTTTCTTTTGTTAAGTATATGACGATCAAGGAATTCATTTTTTATTTGAATCCAGATTACAAGTGCATTAATAGAAACATTGCTCGATCTAGTGTTGTCGGGTTTTATGAGAAAAAAGAAAAGAAACTTTGAGGTCAGATTTATCTAAAAATTCTCACTCTAGTTTGCTGAGTCTCTTATGTGTGAACTGCTACATCAAATGAGGGGGGTATAGCTATATATGCTTAATTAATGGCTCATTATGTAGATGAGAATTGGAAACTTCACAATAGGATATTGTCCTTTTGTTCAATGCCCCCTCACATTTAGCGATTTAGGTAGGGAATTTGTCTAACGAGCTTTGTGATTCTTGCAAGGAGTGAGAGATAAATAAAAAAAAATCTTAAATGTATTAGAGAATGTGCCCTCATGTTAATGATAATATATGAAAGACATATTGAATGAACAACTTTGTTTGCACAACAGTTTATTGTACATTGGTGAGTTCTTTCGTAAGCCGTAATGCACACATATTGAATTTTATAGCTCAAGATGGATTGAAAGTGGCTAACAATGTCTTGCTCAAAATTCGAGAGAGAATGAAGTAATATTAAAACATTGGAAAGAAGGTAAATGATATTTAATGAATGTGTTAAGGAAGTTAATATTGAAAGTAGATGGGATTTGCGTTTAGATGTACCTAGTCACTGAAATCTCATGTGTGAAAAGCTTGAGAATGCTACTAGGCATCAACTTGCATTTTTTTAAACAAATAACTTAATTATTATTGATAAGGGCATCGACGTGCATTTAACAACTTAAAACTGAGCAATCAAAATTATAAGTATTTTCCTTCTTATGAAAAATAGGGAAAACTGTCAAATAGGTCCTCGAACTTTTATAAAAAAGTCAATTAAGTCCTTCTATAGGAGACTCTGTCTGGTCGTCGCGATTTGGGGCGCTTCCCGGTAGAATTTTTTGATGAAATTTTTTGAGCATCTTATTCATCAAGTCTATTTTACTCATACCTAATTTCAGATAAAAATTCAATCGGGAGCGCATTCAAATTAATTCGATAACGCAAAAATGCGCAATTATCTTCACGAATTAATTTGAATGTGTTCCCGATTGAATTTTTAGCTGAAATTTGGTATGAGTAAACTAGACTTGGTGAATAAGATGATTAAAAAATTTCATCAAAAAATGCCACCGGGAACTACCCCAAATCGCGACGGCCGGACAGAACCTCTTATAGAAGGACTTAATTGACCTTTTTATGAAAGTTCGAGGACCTACTTGACAGTTTTATGTATTTTCCTTCTTGTCATGAATGGAAAAAAGTCAGAAAATTGTGAACTGTTGGATACTTGGATCCGTTTGATGAACTTATTTTTTAGATCAAGGTATCCTACTTTAAATCTACATTTCATCCATGTTTAAAAGATCGGATTTTTGATGAAAATAATACTCTTTCCGATGATAATAAAGAAAAATATGGCATGTGATATGTTTCTAAAGTTAGATCCCACTACAGTCATCCAACAATCACGGATAAGAACCGAGTAGAAAAGAGATGAACTAGATATTCAATACCAGAGAATTGATAACAGATGCGACCCTCTTTCGGTTTACGTCAGTTAGCCTTCCTTTTATAGGTAAGGATGATAACTTATGTACTATATTAGTCTATATTACATAAGTGCTAGATGGGCTCAAATACACTAGTAGCCCATAATATAGATAACTAAAGTAATAACAAAACAAATACAAGGATTAAGTTTGAGTTATTGGAAGATTGCTTTATCAAATTTGATCTAAGCATTTGTCAAGAAAAGTTGATTCATGTGAAAAAATGAAAATTTCTCTATATAGAGTACATACAAGAGTAATTTCATGTCTGCTACTTCTTCAAATGCAAATCAATCTGCACACAGGAAATTGTCACAAGGAAACAAGACAAAGGCTTTTCTATTTTCAATGTAAGTTTTAATTTGATTTTATTATTTTATTGGCAATGTTATAGTTTTATAGTAATTTCTTCTTTTTTTTTATCTTGGAATAGCTCGGGAAATTCTCACATTTGAGAGCTCGAATATAATGACAAACCCATCTTTGCATATCTACTTGGAAGAATGCAGCTCCGAGATGAAATAATTCTACGGTATGGATATTTTGCTATATTGAAAGAAAATTAAAAAATACTAAATTAAAGGAAAAACATAGCAAAAGGAAAAACTAGCTAATCCCATGGGAAATCTCTTGATTGGGACCTGGTTGTCATGTTGTGACGCTTTTTTTTAGATTTCCTGTAGATTTTTAGCTGCGAATTCAAGTTCTCGGTCGGCAAGCAATTCTCAGATGTTATGACATTAGCTTTTAGGCAAATCGCAGTATTGAATTTGAATTTCCTAATTTCTTCTGGATATGAATTAGGAGGACGACGATTGCTCTCGGTTGCATGTCCCAATAAGTCATCTGTATGAAGTGAGTCATCTGAATGATCAAAATCGTCTGAGGCATCTGAGTAAGCCTGGATCAATGACAGTTGGGGTTGTTTTCCAGAAAAGAAGACATGGTTAGTTTCAGTGATTGTCACCGCAATCGAAGGTGTCTTTAGCATTATGGAGACCCCAGACAGAAAAATACATAAATCATATTGAAAATGAGATAAATTTAATAAGGGATATTTACCTAAATAGGAGTAAATAAATCTTTAATTGCCAAAGTAGGACTAAAGTTAAACAATTCCCTAAATGCTGCCACCGTTGCCCTTGTAGATCCGGCCACCGTCACAACTAATCCGGCATGTGCCACCGCAAATCTATCCTCTATCGTTGCAGATCTAGCCATTACCGATGTGAATGCCAATTTTTTTTATCAAAATGCCAATGTGAATCGAAAATGCCATTTTAATGGCATTTTCTCAAATTAAAACAAAAACAAATTTTTTGTAGAATAAGAATTCCATGTTGATGGCTTTTTCAGAGATTAACTTGGCATTTTTTACCAATCAAAGAAGAGACGAAGCAACGAAATGGAGGAGGGGAAGAGAGAAGTAGAGAAAAGAGGAAGAAGGACGGGAGAACAATCGGAGAAGAGAAGATGGCCTCCAGAGAAGAGATGACGATATCCGACGGCGACGATGGTGGACTTACGACAACGGCGGTGGACTTCACCATAGCGGCGGCGATGGCTATATATGTCTGGAAGGAGAAGATATTGCGTTGTTCTTGTGCGAAGGGAAGGAGAAGAGATGTCTCGGGAAGGGAGAAGATGTTGCGTACATAGAGGGGAGAAGAAATTAAAGATGCGCAGGAAGGGGTGTTGATCGATTCGTCTGCTGTGTGGCTAGGGAAAGAGAAAAATATATGGGTAAATAGGTAATTTAGTCCCATTTAGAGAATAAAAATATGCATACTCCTATTTTGGAATTTCAAGAATAATTTAGTCCTAATTAGGGTAATTTGTCATTTAATAATTAAACAACATATGAAAAAGCATATTGAAAGTGCACTAAATAATGTTTTGAAACACACATGTATGTAAAATACAACACAAACTTATACTTTTATCACCCTATTGGCCTATTATTCTTGCCTTTTGAAGTGCAAAATGAGTTATAACATAACTCGAATCAAGATTAACTAACACTCTTTTGCAATCGATAACACAACTAAGCCACTTAATCTATCTTTCGACATGGTTGACCGTAGATCATGGTTTCAGTTTCAACTTTGAAAAGTCTCTTTCCGCAACAGCCATAATCACCAATATAGTTAACAAAATTGTGTAAGACATCCAAGCATTTGGAAAAGATATATGCATATCTTTTGTGTAATCCAACACTTCTAAATAGGTAATACAAAAATCACAAACAATTTAATTAACAAAATTTAGTATCTAGCATTTCAGGAATTTTCACCTCAAAATAGCATACAATAAAAAAAAGTTGCATTTACTAGTTGACAACTTTAGTGCTTGTCTACACTATTTTATTAACTAAAAATATAAATTCTAGATAGAAATAGAGAAAGTGAGAAACGAGAGAAACTGTAAGAAAGAGTAATAAGATACAGACTTACAGAGTATTACAAGAACTGATAACTAACAACTGAGAAGGAGCGTCGCACTACGGCAAGGCATACGGACGGTGGGAGGTATGCTGTCATAGAAATGAGGAGTTGTAGACCAAGTATACCTCATACTAATACTCCTTATTTTTTAAGCCTCCCTTGGCAGGTGAAGATCCAACTGGCCCCAAAGCCACCCCTGCATGCAATGTGTTTAGTGTTCCTACCACCACGGTGGCATAAGAGTTGGCTTTAAGCATTGATTCTCGTGTTCTGACTAAATAGAGAGGTTTTATTCTTCCATCACCTTTTTTTAAACCAGGTAGGCAAACCACCAAAATTGGTGGTGTAAATGCTAAGGAACATTTACCAGATTTTATTAGTAATTAAAAGTACATCAAGACGAGGAGGATTAGATCAAAACCTCACCAGAGAGGGTTACTCTTCCTTCGCATGTGCAAGCATTATTGTGCACTCGTGACAGCTTAAAGGGCTATGAAGTTTATGAGGAAGGTAATTTCCATTTCTTAATGTGATCTTATTCTTCATGGTTATGCAATTCTTGGATTTTGAATGGTTAATTTACTATGTAAACATGATGGAAGTATTGGAGATGGCTCAGATCCGCAGCTCGCTCAAAACGTATAAAGACATTGATCATGTATTTAAGGAAAGCATATCGAGGTGGAGAAATTATTTAGAAAAGTAAGTGTTATGTGATAATTGTAGTATAAAGTTATCAAATTTTGTTTAGAGTTGAATTTAGATAGTTTGAATGTTTTCTTTTTGCATTTTTTATTTCGAGTATGTTTTGAGGCTTTATTTAAACACATTAATTTTGTTCAAAGTTAAATTTAATTTTTTGTTTTGTTTTATACACTTTTGGTCTGCTTGTAGCTCTATCAAACTCATGAGTTAGGTGAGCTAGGTTCGACTTATAAAAAGACTGATCTGTCACTAAACAGGTTGGCCCTGCCTAACCCGCTAAACTTATAATCCACCATGGAATGGATTGGATTGGATTGGATTGACCCATTTGACAGCTCTATCTGAAGGCAATCGACCTATTAACTCAAGGGTGGCGACATGTTTACCCAGATGGTTGACCGATCGGTCCAACCACCACCACCCTGCCAGTCTAGATAGCCAACACGTCATCCCAACGTGGGAACAGCCGAAGGTAGTCGCCCTACCTGCTCAATCGTGCTGACCTGCGATCGTGGATAGCCAACTTGCCAACGTGGTAGCTCGGGGGTATTCACATCCTAAACACCGCTCACCACTCCATTTCACTATATATAGTGCATTAAATGCTTCTCTCATTTATTACTATGATTTCTGCCTCATAATGTAAGATACATATAGGTTTTGTGTGGGTTTTAACGAAAAAATAATAAAGTGGTTGTTTTACAATTCTAACCTCCAAAAAGTCAAAAAGAAAAAGATGGGTCCACAAAAAGTAAAAGGTAGAGTACAATTCACAAGAGTGAAAAGTTAGTGGAGTATAATTCAGGAAAATGTTCATTATTTTGAAGAACCCAAAAAGGAAATTGTATCTTACAAAATAGGATGGAGGCAATATTATAAATACCCCATTTGGTTAGTTATAAGGACTCTTTTTTTTTGCAGATTACTTCATTTATATCTTATTATGTTTTGTTTTCTCTCTATAATACTACTAGGCTACTAGCGATTTACAGTATAACTATCAATTGCATTTTCTTCTTCCATGAGTATGCAAAGATAGAATAAGTTTCGTAAAAGCTTAGACACGGATTTAGGTACACCATTTCAAGATTAAAATTAAACAAAAGGGTACTTCTTTAATCCAGTGAAACATCTTCAATGGTTCATCTTTACTAGTGTAATCAACATCACATGGGCGGGCAAAAATATGAGCATAATAAAGTTCCAATAATTTCCCTTTATCCATTAGGAAAAATATGAGCACACACGTACAATTGCACCCCATTAAAAAGTATAAATGCCCCCAATAAATCTAAAAACTGGAATGCTCCCATTAATCTACAACCCAAAGGCTCATCAATGCCTAAAGTAAACCCTTTTGTAATTTTTCATTTTAGGCTAATGTAACAAAGAATCAATAGCAATTAAATGATTTAAATCCCTAAAAGTAGAAGAATTAGGTTCAGATTCGAGAAGTGAGAACGATAAGAAGAGTAGAAGACATTGAGTAGCTACATTTGAGAACAATAAATGGGCAAGTTCAAGTATTGCGGGCTGTGGCGTGGTTTTGTGTTATTCCTAGATGTTGTTTAACTGTAATAAAAAATAAACAACAAAACTTATATAATAAAAATGTTAATAGAGTAGCTAGTAATTATAAGCTAGTAGGTTATAATTAAGTAATTAACAATACAAAGCTTAAAATTAACTATAGAACAATGCAAATAATTTTTATTCTTATGTAAAATTAATTACATAATAATGTTGATGGAGTATATGGCCCAGGAACCCCCGGCCCGTAGACTCCCACTTCTCCTACACAAGTCCATTGAGCTCAGGAAACAACTCAGGCCCAAATACCGCGGCCCAAGCCTCAAAGCAGCCCAGAATGCACACTGGGGCGCCTTCGGCCTCCTTGGCCGAAGGCTCCGAAACTCACAGGATAACCTTCTCTGGCATAAAGAAGCTACTGGAAGAAAACGAGCAAAGACATGAGCCTTCGGCATTCTCATGCCCTCGGCTACACAAGAAGCCCTCGGCTACGCAAGGAGCCTTCGGCTACACAAGGAGCCCTCGGCTACACAAGGAGCCCTCGGCTACACAAGGTGCCTTCGGCTGAACAAGCTCAATCATCGAAGATTCCTTTTAGAGACAGCCAACCACCGCATTTAATGCCACGTCGCATCCACCAACCGCATTCAATGCGGTTGACGTACCACTGCCGGTGCCACCAGGCTGATGTGACCCTTCGGCCGTTGGATTACTGACACGTGTCCTCTCATCGCATTTATTGCTGCTATAAATAGCAGCCCTTATTCACCTTGTAAAGACACGCTGAGTTCATTTAATAAACCGACTCTCTCTCCTCCTATTTTACTCTGACTTCTCTCTAGTTATTCCTGCAATAACCCCTCGGATAAGATACCCCCCGGGTAGACTATCCATCATTTGGTGCTCTCGTTGAGAGGGTCAGGACAAATCAAGTGAGAAACCCTCCCCCTCTACCAAACACAAATCCTTACCAAAAATGGGAAGAACCACCCGTGCCCAATCCAAAACCCTTGAGGAAAACTACGTAGCCCCCGGCGAAACTAACGGGGCTGAGGCCTCCAACAGGCTCTTAGTACCCGAGGGTGGTGTCATCCTCGAATTAGAGCAAGCCACCGCTGACCTACGCCAGCAGCTGCAGAAGAATACCCCTGATGCCCGCATTGGCCTTGATAATCGAAGGAGGGATCGGAGTGAGAACCAAGTTCCCCCTCCGGCCCCGGCCATCGATCTTCAGGCTGCCTTTGCGGCCTTTGTTCAAAACATGGCTCTCAATTCCGGAGCCCTCGCCTCTCAGACACCTCTCCAACCCTACGCCGGAGGAAATGTTGTTCAATTACCACCGCTCCCCCCTCTGTTCAACAATCCTCTCCCGGGGGTTGGAAACGCCGAAGGGGTCATGGCACAGGACACCGCCTCCCAAGAGGCCCAATCCAGGGATAAACGTCCCTTGATGAAGGAGAAACCCCGGACCTCTGCACTTGAGAGGCTGGGGGGAGCTCCCATACGCCGAGGGGTCCAAGACCGCCTTGGCAAACAGGAATTCAGCAGGCCTCAGGAGAGCGGAGCCTCCGCTTCGGGAGCCGAGGGCATACCTCCGCCCCGAAGCAAGGGCAAAGCCATCCTCCATGCCGATGACGCCAGACACCAGATCAATCAGGCGCAGTCCTTCCGGGCCAACTCCCAAGGGGTTGCCCCGAAAGATCCCAAGGACGAAATTATCGAGGCCCTACTCCGCCAACTTGAGGAGAATCGACAGGCACCGCCGACGGCTTCCACAGCTAGGCCAGATCCGGAGTACGCTGACCTCCGGGCGCAGGTGGAGGAAATGAAGCGTAAGCTCGCCGAAGGCTCAGGCGAGCCCCTCATTCAACTCCGTACTAGAACACCCTTCACCCCAAGGGTGTTGGCGGCAAAAATCCCCCATAAATATCGGGGGCAACCCATCAAGCCGTATGAGGGGAAGACGGATCCCC